GCAGGGGTTTTGAATTGATGCACTTAAAAGAAACAAATAAAACAAAAATTAATTTAATCAGATCATTATATCAAAATATTGGTAACCTTTTATATCAATTGTATTTGGATAAGTGTATTTTATGATGAGGAAACAGGCATAAAATGAACCCTGATGAAAAACTTGGAGGATCTGGACTTCGCCAGTGATATATGTATGATTTCTCACAAACTGGAAGATATGCAAGTGAAAAGCATCAAATTGGCAGTCGAAGCATCAAAGATTGGACTTCAGGTGAACATAGAGAAAACAGAGGTGATGAAGATTCCCGGGCAACACCACCGACAACAATAACAGACAACAATCAACATAAATGTGAGGAAACTGAAAGAAACAACCTCCTTTACCTAACTGGGAAGCATCGTTTCAACTACAGGTGGATGGAACTGATGAGGATATCAAAGCAAGAATCGGAATAGCAAGACAAGCTTTTACTACTCTCAAGTCTGTGTGGAGGTCAACAGCACTCAGCATCAAAAATAAAATCAGGATTTTCAACTCCAATGTGAAGTCAGTGCTACTTGCTATACTGATCAGAGACTTGGCGGGTCATGAAGAGCACCTCAAACCTTCATTAACAGCTATCTTCGCTTAATACTCAAGATCAGATGGCCAGAAAAGATCAAAAACAGAGAGGGATCTCTGGCAATGAGCGAACCAATCCAGCAGGAACCGATTGTGGAAGAAATATGCAGGAAGAAATGGAGATGGATTGGCTGGTCATACTCTGAGGAAACAAACCACCAAGTGACATCACTAGACAAGCCATCGCTCGAGTGGAAGCTGGCCGAAAGGGAAGCGGCGAGTTGGTCGTCAGTGCAAGAGTGGGTGACTTGGAGGACGTCATGTGAAGAGGAGATGAAAACGTGTGGGCAGACTTGGAGCCAGGTGAAGACTCTAGCAGAGAACCGAACGCAATGGAGATGTGGGCGGCTGAAGCCCTATGTTCCTCTGGGAATTAAAGGAAACAATAATAATGATTACTACTAAGCTTTATGCCTAAATAAGATGCGAGTGTTCAAAATAAAGTCCAGTACTCCTAAAATTTTCTGAGAAGTTTGTAAGATATCAGTGTTATCGAGTGTTCCATCATTTCTTGTTGGATTTTGTCACGTTGCTTGGCTTGAGACTTGAACTCCGGTCGCCGGATGTAGAGTTCACTGTACTAACCACTGTACCATCAGATCATAGGATGCTGTGTCCTTTCTGATCTGTGATCGTAACCTAGATAGATATGACCCGTTGCACAAGAGGTGGCTCTCGTGGCCCAAGTGGTCTAGTGGATAGCGCTATGGCGTTTGAAACTATGCTCAATGGGTTCCAGCCTCGGTGGGAACACCATCACTGACTCACTGGAGAATGCAGGTATATCTGTAACAACAGAAGACAAGGGCCAGGCAACAGATCGTTTATTACGAAAAATCAACACGTATTTATAGATTTTTATGTACATTATTGTAGGTCAATGTTAGTAGAAAATACAGTCTGTTGATTGGTTGTTTCTCACACAAAGTTAACCTTGCATCTCTTGTGGCTGTGTCAGTTCATCTATATGTTAACTGTAACCGCCTGTCCACCTTGACCTTTGACCTCAATTACTGTCAACCAATTTGGCCGGCAACCATCTCTCACCACAACATGACTAATATTTGATACATAAACATTGACCTCAATTACTGTCCACCACTTGGCTAGTAGACAGCTCTCACCACACTCGTCCCCCCGTCAAATAGTTTGGACTGAAGTCGGCTCGGTTTTCTCGGTTCTTGGGGCTTCGCTCTGTTGTCTTGCTGTCTGGAATCTTGGCGCTTGCGGATGTCCACTTGTTTAACGGTGTTTACCATTGCGATTGTGTCTGCGTAACCCCATCTCAACGTGACCATATATGGTCCTTCCCACTTTGGAAACTGTTTGCCTGACCCTGTCGCATATTCGTAGGTATTTCGCCTCACACGTCCATATGCTGCTTTCTCCCGACCTCCCAGCAGCGTCCCAAGTAGCAGCCTCATCGCTGACAGATCTTGAACGCCACTCAACTGCGAAGAAGCCTCGAAGTCCTGCGCGAAGATCCATATGTCTCCATCAAAAACTGCAGGGCATAGGCTTCCCATTTGTCGGTAGGCAGCGACACCAAATGTAACGACAGAAGACAAGGGCCAGGCAACAGATCGTTTATTACGAAAAATCAACACGTATTTATAGATTTTTATGTACATTATTGTAGGTCAATGTTAGTAGAAAATACAGTCTGTTGATTGGTTGTTTCTCACACAAAGTTAACCTTGCATCTCTTGTGGCTGTGTCAGTTCATCTATATGTTAACTGTAACCGCCTGTCCACCTTGACCTTTGACCTCAATTACTGTCAACCAATTTGGCCGGCAACCATCTCTCACCACAACATGACTAATATTTGATACATAAACATTGACCTCAATTACTGTCCACCACTTGGCTAGTAGACAGCTCTCACCACATATCCAGTGATGAGTCCCAAATAGGACGAAATGCGCTTTACCCTGAATCCCACTGCTAGTTACCATTCACCAATTAACTTCTAAATAGTAATAATCTTCTGATAATAAATATACTCGTTAATACAAATTATAAAATTTTGTACAATTAATTCAAAACTCTGTTATAACTGTCATTCTCATCCACCAGATTAATTGATTTTTAAATTTTGGTTGGCATTAGACTCCTGTTTCGCAATACTTTTGTTACTCTTCAGCAATGTTAACTCATGAGTTAATCGGGAATCAAAATTCAGACCTTCACACTAGAAACTGAATACTCTTGTCCTCATACGAACAATCCATGAATACTAGCGCCAAAATTGTTGGAATTTGTCCTTCACGTCTTTTCCTTATACAATCTCAAGAAATATACCACTAAAACAAACAATTTCTTAACTGAGGTGCTACTATCTATTTTTGTAGAAACAACTTTAGTATGCAGTCTAATCAATTTGGGAACAGTTCACGTTGACACTGTCTGAGGTGACCATTGTGATTATATGATTGTTTTAAAATAATTAGAGAATATTTGTAGCTCAGGTGGATCATTTTGAGAGTGTTGTGTCCTCTGTGATGTATGGTTTTCAAAAAGCATCTTCAGTGCTTCAATGTGAAGTTTTTACGCTGAAGTAGTTGTCTAGAAAGATAGTAAAAGCTTTTTAAATGAAATTATACCCAGCTCAGAGAACACAACCACATTAAAAAAGATAGTCACTTCATCTAGTATCAGTTGATTCGATAATTTTCACCTACGTAAGTGACTGGTTTTGAACAAAATTGAACAGCTGCAGGACGAAGTTACCTGGGGTTCTAGTGAGAACTGGGAATACAAACATGCACCAGTGACACTAAATCGTAGTTGCGCTAAAATCATAAATTGATAGAAGTTAGATATCATGGGTCGTTAAAACAGATCCCATTGGCTGAATGGTTTATGAGTTTGCTTTCCAAGCAGAACATCGTGTGTTTTTGAACACTGAACGTTGGATGCCCACTACTGAACAGTCCTGAAGTAGAACTGAACAGCTGTTCAATACTCCTTGGTTTTACAACGATTCTCTTTTCGATAACCCCTTCATCATGAGGCTCCACGACTATATATACATTATAGTGAATGAATGAATTAGTCTTATGAACTGCATTATTGTTGTTTAAATAACATCGAATCAATAATATTGATAGATTACAGCTGAATAGCATCAACATAAAATAAGCTGAATGTCAGAAGAATTAGGAAAGATAATAATACAAATTCATGAATTTATAGTCCCTCCTGAAGGCCAGAGAAGTAGTAAGGGCTGGACTTGCTTCTTTTGAACACAAAACACTGGTTGTTTCACGCGAATCGCGATAGCCTCTGCTGTTTGGAGCATGCGGTACTTCAATATTTTTGGCAATTTATTTGACACCTGGTAGATGACAGAGAAGGATTCTTTTCGATGGTCTAATATCGAACTGTTGATGGTTTTCACTACACCTTTACTTAGCCATACTGGGAGGTGTTCTCGAGACAGCACGAAAAATCAAGTTACCAGAGCAACGGCCGATATAACTCGCTCCACCACAAGCGCAGTTGAATTGGTAGATACAATCAGAAGTGGCTAGTCTAGTCTAGGTACTTCATCTTTCAGTCGAGGAATCACCCTCGGTCGTGTAGAGAATAAGACGTGTAGTTCGCCAGCATTAGCTCATGATCAAACTTGACAAAAGTTGAATTAATTCAGGTAGCTACACTCCGATCTGTGCATACACACACTCCACACCCCCTAAGGCCCTAACAGTTCGTTTGACAACTTCTCAATCATTTATAAACTAGTACTCTGTATATATTACATAATTGTTTGTCATTTCTCTTATTACGTATTTCGCTTGTTTCTATTATGAAAAAGCAAACAAATTATCTACTGTTTCGCCTTATTCACTCAACCTATGTATTTCTTTCTCCCTTTTGCCCTTCTCTATGCATGTGAATTTATTTGTCCTGTATGGCTAATGTTGATGATGTCGTCTTTGCACATATATACACAATGGTCTCCATCATGCGTATATACATATATATTATATTCAATGTTTACGCACTTCCCAATTGGATTACACAATTATACGCCTTCTAATTATTTGGTATTAAAAACGCTGTTATTATTGGCATGCATAATAATAATAATAATAATAATGATAAAAATCGAATGATGGAATTTCTATTCAATTCAACTGATGAACTGGTGTTCGGTGTTCTACACGGTGTTGCACAAATTCTATCCACATGTGTACAATCTTCGGTGTGAAAACTCTGTCTGTCAATTTGGTGTATGTAATGCAATGTATATATATCTATTTATATTTGTGTATCGATGTGTGTATATGTGCATTTTGTGTAAACAATCCTCTTCACTGTTGTCATGCTCCATATCTATCCATCTATCTATTTATCTATGTGTATATCCAGTTCGTCAGTATACTCAATTATGCTTGCATAATAATAATCGTTATAGTTGTGTTGTCGATGAATTGGAAACTGAGTAAGTTTATAATTCAAGTATTCGTGTTTATACCAAAGTCAGGTAGTTTGTAGGTTTTTCTCAGTTTTGTTTATATATACATAGATATGTATTCTTGATTTTTTCACAGAAACATTAATCTACAGTTAGGTTTAAGGTTTATATTATTATAGTATATTTGTGCGTCGGTTGCACAGTGGTACAGTGCTCACCGACCACGCCTCATGTGGTCCAGGGTTCGGTCCCTAGCCACAGACGCACTCCTTTACCTCACTACAGGTAAAGAGCGAAGGTTAAGCATGAGGCTAGCAACCCCATCCTGTAAAAAAATAATCACCACTGTTACAGAAACTTCAAGCCTCTAGCTTGTAGCCCTCACTATGTTCCACTGGGAACGTAAAGGAAGGAAAAGAAAAAGTATATTTGTACTACATAACCTTATTCGTGTGCCCCTACATCAAATAGCGTTAAGTTAGTTACAGAAAGGAAGGTAGGAGTGATGAGAAATTAAAATTTCACTCTATGAGATGTCTACACGTCTGACACATTCGTTCATCAACGAATTTCGTGCAGAGATTTCAGTACATAAACTTTTTTTATTTGTGCAAATATTTGGTTATTCCACATTAATTTGTTTATTGCATAATATGGTACACTACAATATTACAATATTATTACTGTCAACTTTAGGCTACGAGTGGAACATAGGGCTTCAACGGCATGTTGTCATATCATTCTGTTATGTGCAGTTCATTTTAGCTGGCTCAACTGACGCAAGCTCCTTCATGTTAGCGTCTGACGTTCAACTCGCCGACAGCTACACAGCATTATTAATTGGTGTATGACGTCTCAACATCAAAAGTCGATTTTTATGTCTCCCTTTCTTCTCACTCTTTCCAGCTGTTGTAACGCATGGTGGTAGAATATTCCAGATGTAATGTAGGTTCTCATACTCCATAAGCGCACACATATGTAAAACAGGAGAACAAAGATAGATAAGGGACTACAACAGATGGAGGGTAGTGAGAATTTACGAGGTCTAAGTGGTCATAGATAGTTGATGAATCTTCTCCTCTGGGAACTATTTTGAACTATGTCACCTACTGTCTCCAGCTATTAAGTCTTGGAATCGTGAGGATTCCAGCCAGGCAATATACAACAAATCCATACTTTGCTTACTCAAGCCATCAGTCAATGACTTCATAGATTGATTGATTTCATGTTCACCTTGCTCGTCAGTGCTTCAATGACAGAATGGTTGTCAGCTGTGCAGGTTAGACTCCTGGCCGACGCATTCCTTAACCTTGTCTAGTCTACTAGCCAATAAGAGGTGGGGTTGGGCATGAGATTAGCAGTCCTATCCCGTAGAAACAACACCAATGCTTGCAAAACTTCTGAGTTCCTCATCTGAAACCCTGTTTTGCACTCAGAACGTCAGAACTGAAAAGAAACTTCACTATAAGCTTACTAATATTGATTTTGTGATATTTAGCTTGCCTGTTTGTTCCTTTGTCAACGATTATAATCTTTCCCAAAGTAAAACTCAGTTTTGATTTTATGCTCATGTAATTAGAGACGAGAGATTTCTTTCAAGGTGTTACAGATACGCCTTGATGACGAGTGCCTGCCAATTAGCATAAATCCTAGGGTCAACTGCTTCTTGTAGATTGCCTTCAACCATTTGAAAATAATTCGAAATATACACGGCGACAACGAATCACCATGCCTAGTGACCACATTACAAACTTGGCTGATAGAATTTAATTAGCATCAACACCTTGGACTAAGAACACTCTAGTTAGTAACCAATGACAGCACTACTGTCCTACAGGAGGTCAATCGTGACGTCGCTTATTGCAACACTGGTCGATACAGGTTCGATCAACACAGGGGATATCAATTTTCCAATTCATGAATAATTCCCTTCCAGACATTTATGAAAACAAAACACAGTTTAGAAAAGAGGCTCTTCTCAGCAAATTCATTTTCTTTAGCTGTACAATCGCATTTATATGCAAATTTTGTTTTCATGAAAGAGGGTAGCTACAAAAGTGATGAGCTGTCACACTTATAATTGTTAATATTAGTCAATGCGTAAATCAAGTTGAATAAGTGTATTAGAGTCACCTAGTAAGGTGAGTAATTTCTAACGAATGAGTTGTAATCACGATAAATATAGAAACAAACGGAAATATGGAACTGCTTAAAAGTTCTGTGAAACATGGGAGTTATAATGAGTTCGAGAAGCAAACATACAAAGATCAGTATATGTGTTTACAGGAAATCCACATATTCAAACGGATATCTGGACTTCCTATCATCCCATCCTATGTCAGTGAAAATGGGATTGGTGAAATGTTTAAATAATATAGCACAAAAACTAAGGGATACCAAGGAAAATCTAAGACAGGAAGTGAAGCATAAAAGAGAAGCCTTGAAACTTAATAATTACCCTGATAAATTAGTCAGAAAATATGTAGGGAAATGTAAAAATAAAATAAATAATGATAGTAGCGATAGTGATAATAATAATAATAATATTAATGACGACATGCATGTCAAATATGCGCAAGACAACACCAACAATAAGGAATCTAAATCATCAGTAGTAATTCCATACAAGGAAGGAACCTCGGAAACCTTACGCAGAATTCTGAACAAGGCAGGAATAAAATTGGCTGGCATTCAAACCCATAAAGTCAATTAGAAACAAGCTTTGTCGGTTAAAGGATAAATCCTGTGAAGCCTTTAAAACAAAACAATTTAGTTTATCTAATACCCTGCCTGCAATGATTGTCAGGTCAAATATATAGGTCAAAGTAGTAGAAGAGGGGCAGTCAGTCAGACTAGCCAAGCATAAAAACCTAGCAGCAAAATCTAGATTGGTTGACCCGAATAAGATAAGAAATCTAGAGAATAGTTCAGCTATAGCACTACATGCATTTACACACAACCATACAATAGGCTGGATGAGATAAGATGACAGTTTTAAAATCTAATCTCATATAACAGGGTGGAGGGAAAGATTGATAACAGAAGCTTTGTTTACGTGTTATAGGAATGATTCAACACCTGTCCACCCAGAAATCTGGAAAATTCTACCACCACGCCTACGACGACAAATAGGCGAGAACAAAGAAAAGTATTAAACTCAAGTTTCGAATTCGTATGATTATAATTGATGCAATGATTATGAACAATAAATATTTGTTCGAAACTTTGTCATCCAGTAAATAATACTGTTTCACTGACTGTATGATACATCTAATGAACAAACCAATACAAAGATCAAGTCAATGGAGATCAGCAGGGTTGCGTTCATAGCTCCAGTGTCTCTAACTGAATGGCTGAAAGCTTCAGTAATGAAAAGTACACGAAAGTGTATTGTCGGTTGTTTGCTTTGAAGGAGGCATTTGTTGAGATGGTATGATCTGTGTTGACAAAGGTGTTCTTTAGCCTGCTTACATAGGATGCGAGTTGAACGACCAATACACTTGACTCCACAGGAAGAGATGAACTGATGCATGCACATAGAAGTGGTGAGATTTGAAATCTTGTCCTTAAGGCTTCTGCAGACCGATAGGCAACTGAAGAATACTATTCTCAGGGTTGCTATGGAGAATGTTCTTCTCAGTGGCAGTGAAATTCCTCTCTTAAGGAGATCACAGGTTAGGTTTTCCCTTGAAATTCAGGTTTTTGTAAAGCTTTTTTTAAGTAATGACACCTTACACGCAGTACTAGATATTCTGAAGGAAACCTTCATCCAAAAGTGGTTACTCACTAAGAATCACTGACAAGAATATCAAACCAATGAATGGTTCAGAAGAACGAAACACTACCCGTTCTAAAAATTAGGAAATGCTAGTAATCGCAGACAAAACATCATTATTATTATTTTATTTGAAAATAAAAAGTAGCATTATTTGTTGTCACCTTGGAAAAAAAATAAGACGACAGCATGGAGAAACATCTGCCCCTTTTTCCTTCCTTGTTATTTTATGTTTAACTGTTATGCTGATGTTTTTGTTGTTGTTGTTGAGTGAATACAACAAACAGCTGAGGGTTTTTCTTCTTCTGTCCTTATTGTTGTTTTTGTTTTAGTGAATCCTTTCCAATTCTACCAAGTCAAACTGGTTGGTGTAAAGTGTATAAACTGCGTCCATTATTAGCTAATAATCGGCATAAACGTGGTTTAGCACTGGATGGTAAATTAAAGCATGAAGATACTAATTTAGCTTCATCAACAATGTAAGTATTTGTGTATTATTTCTATAATATTCTACTTTGATTAGACACTTGACAGTAAGTAATTACTGTCATGCATGCATCTAGTAGTCTTTTTGTTTGTTTGATTGGTTGAAGGATTTCATCATGAGCTGATATCAGTTAGAGAAGCACTGGAAAACGTGGGAGTACTGGACAGCTATTTCGTCCCAGTTTGAGACTCCTCATCAGTATGCACCCACACCACAGGGTTCGAACCCAGGACCTTCTGGTTACAAGGCGAGCTCGTAGACCATTGAGCCACTGGGACCCGATCCAATAGTTCTTGAATTCTAAGTTCTGCCAATTCACGACATAGCGCGACCATTTCGCAATGTCTTCTGCGATGAGTTACTGCCTCATATTTGACCTACTGCACTTTACTGGTCACGGGTTCCCCCTTGAACCCCAGGTTAACTGCCTGCCTGTTTGTTGCCAACTGAATACTATCAGTCACGTATGCAATATGTGTGCACAGTGGTAGAATGCTCGCCGACCACGCCTCATGTGATCCGGGATTCGATCTTCGGCCGATGCACTGGTAAAAAGGGAAGGTTGGGCGGCATGAGGATAGCAACCCCATCCTACCATCGAAACTTCGAGCCTCCACCTCTAGCTTGAAGCCCTCGCTATGTTCCACTGGGAACGTAAAGGAATAATAATGATAATAATACGTTTGCAATATGACCACCATGCTGGGTAGTTCGCTACTACGATCCACTTAGAATTTTTGTTATTAGATGGTTGGAGGCAATTAGCAGGATGCTTACTGGCGACTGGCCCTATTCAGGTAGGTAGTTATCTGGGGTTCCAGTGGGAGGATAAATACTCGCCAAAGACATTGGCTAGCAGTTGCGCTATGTCGTGAATTGGCAGAAGTTAGAATTCATCGGCCATTGGATCGCCTTGTAACCGGAAGGTCCTGGGCTCGAACCCCGTGGTGTGGGTGCCTCACTGATGAAGATTCCTAAACTAGGACGAAACAGTTTTCCAGTACTCTCAGGTTTTCCAATGGTTCTCTAACCAATGTCAGCTCATGATGAAATCCTGTAACCAATCAACCAAATCCCTACAAACCAACACTTGAATTAGCAGGAAGCTTTGAACTTAGGTTTCATGCTCATTGCCATTCATTAGTTTGCCTGGTGTATGTACAATCTTGAAGGAACTGATGTCTTCCACCCCTGAGATTTACACCCGTGTCACTTTTTGATTGAACACTAGTTGAGTACGATTCTACAGAAGATTAATCACAAGCCTCAATGACTCAATGGTAACGTGTCTAACTCTAGCAGTAGGTGACACGAATTCAACTGTCAGAAGGGATGTGAGTTCCTTGAAGACTGTAAATACTTCTTGTTGACGACTGGTGATTGTCATCAAAGGCATCCTGCCGATTGTCACCCAACAATCGAATAATAACAATTGTGTAATGTTTTAATTCGCGTTACTTTTGTGTGTGTGTGTTTGTATTTACTATACTTTTCATTCTCTACTTTATTGTACTTACTTTTTATAATAATATCTGCTTCCGATATTTTGAATTATCAATCATGCCTACAAGTGGAATTCCATCAAGTGGAGTGAATACTTTTTTTGACTATAATTTTATATAAATATATATAAAATCGTTGTTTAAAACCACTTGAAAAAGAACAGGACCAAAAAATGACTGATCAGCTATAGAACAGATACATAGAAAAGAACATAAAGGTGTAATGAATACGGGAAACTAGAATGACTGAATACATCTACCTCACTGACAACGATTTTACAAGATATCACCAATTTAGAGAAAATATACATTCAGGTATCTAGAAAAAAGAAACTAAATAATTGAGCAAAGAGTATCCTCCTTTCGATATATTCCTCTTCTCGTTCTACAATTATTTATAAGTATGTTTATATACATAAAATATTCTAGAATAATAGTCAAAAACAATTTCAGTCTTTTTTAAATAATATCGATTCGTTAAGTAAGATCACAATGGAATTACAGTTCATTAAAGATCATTGAAGTATAATGATAATAATTATATAATAGCAAATAGAATATCAGCTAAAATTAGGGAGATTTCCACAAAAATTGAGGATCATTGGAACCTAGGTGGTCAAGGTAAGGAGAATGTCTTAACTTGCTTCGTTTGGAAATATAAATTAGGCTTCTTAATGTGCATTCCAACAGTCAGCCCTAGGAATATGTAGTAGACGAACTCTTGAGTTACTCGAAGTTAAGCTTAGTTGGTATGCAATAGGTGACTTTGAAAGTTGCCTCGTTAACATCAATCTTGTTTTCTGTATCCACTAGTTGAGATAGAATGGCGCAACGAATAGATTTTAATTGTCCTTTACTTCACCACCACGCAACGTGATGTTCGGAAATCCGACGAGAAACACGCCTTATTGTACTGCCTATGTATCTGGCTGACTCCACAGGAGCAGTTAAATTGGTGGATAGATATGGAAGAGGCGAAATTAGGCAGTTTGTCTTTCACTCCCCAACGCAAAAGAAAAGTGGTTTTGAAGACACAGGGTAATGCAGCTGCATGAAATGCTCTTTTTATCGAAATTTTAAGGTCTTGTGCTAGTGTCTCTCTGGTGTTATCCCTAAAGAATTGCATTTGTAAGAATAAGGCCTTTTTAGGAACTATTGGTACCTTGGACTGCTTTGATTTTAGATTCATATTCATATCAATAAAAGTTTCTGCTAAATCATTTTCACTCAGCAATCATTTAATATTATTAAGTTCCTCATTAAGACATTCATCCGTGCAGATTGCTTTTTCTCTGTGAACCATGCAAAATACCTAATTTCGCCTCTTCCATGTGTATCTACCAATTTGACTGCTTATGTGGAGTGAACCAGTTACGTAGGCTATACAATTAGGTGTGTTACTCATCGGATTTCCGAACATCAACCTGCATGGTGGTTAAGTAGAGGAGAATTGAAATCTATTCGTGGTGCTATTCTATCCCATTTTTTGGATACAAAACCCAAGATTCATGTTAACCATGCTTTCAGGGTCATTTACCACATACGAACAAATCTCAATTTCGCCTTAAGATTTCGACTACTAAATACTGCTGAGGCTGACTGTTGGGTTCCACATTAAGAAGACTAATTTATGCGTCCAAAAGAAGCTAGTTCAGACATTATCCTTACCTTGACCATCTACGATCGAACGATCCTCAATTTTTGTGGAATCTTCCTAATTTAAGTTGATATTCTGTTTGCTATTATATTTTTATCACTATTATAATTCATGCATCTTGAATAAACTGTGGTAATTCCATTAATCTTACCTAACCGATTGGTAGTATTTAAATAAACACTAATATTGTTACTGACCACTATTCTAGAATATTCTATGGATATAAACATATGTATATATAATTGCAGAGTCAGAAGAGGAAATTGTCGAAAAGGGTATTCTTTGCTCACTGATTTTGTTTTTCTATAGATATCATCAATTATCTCCAGACTTTGGTTACTAGCATCCCGAGTTTCCCAACAAGGCAGTTTATACCACCTTACATTGCTCAAGTCATCAGTCAAAGGTTTATGTAGGTTGATATTAATCCAGTGTAATCCCATGTCAATTAACACTGTTCATCGTGGCAGGCGATGGCTCTGGCCTGAAATTAGCCTAGGACCATAAATTATTTCGCAGTTATTATGCACTCATAGACCTTTTGTCTTTTCTACTCTGTGTGAAAGAAGGACTGCTGTTAGCTAATATTTCTTTAGAATAATCAATGAATTAGGCGTTTATCAAGGTGATTAATGACTGTATATTAAGCATCACTGTCAAGTGTTTCAACTGTTGTTTGAAACACTTAGATCTCTTTTTTCTCATTGGTCACCTCTTTCCGTTTTTCTATTGTGTGCGTGTGTGTGGTATTGTTGTTGCCATGACAGTTGTTGAAACTGTGAGATCAGCCAGCAGTCAGAGTAGTTTTCGTTAGTGCATTCTTTTTGTTCTTACTAGGTCGTATTTCCTGTCATATATCAGTCTGCATCGTCACTTTATACCATATATAATTTCTCTCAATTTATAGTAGTGATAATATAGTTAACAGTTTCATCGCTCTAATTTGTCTCTCTACTAGTATTAATTATCACCTCAGTTTTAACAGGCTGCTGGTAATGATTGAGAAAAGGCCAAATTGTTGAGAAAAGAAACACCATTAGAAAAAAAAGTCAGAAAAAAATATTTAGAGCGAACAATTGTGGTTTCAATAAATTCTTCCTTCTTCAGGCTCTACAATTATAAATCCATTAGTTTAAGCATACAATAGTCAGCCAGCCAGTATAGGCAAATTAGAATCATATCAGAATTGTGTATTGTGGAACAAGTATAAGTAAGATGGGATGGAACAATAGTCAGTTAGTTTTTTAATATGAATGGTCAATGAGAACATGGGACAACATGAGATGAAGTAATTTAATTTAATGATGTGTGTATATAGCTTCACACCGATTCAGTACAAAAGAAACTTAGTTAAGTGTCTTAGCTATAGAATAAAACGCATATGCTTATAGGAATGCATTAAGGAAGAAATGCATAAACTGAAACTCACACTACAAGAAAATGGATATCCACAGAGCTTTCTAAAAAAGTATATGTCAGTACCTACAGCCAGAGTAAAAGTGGATACCATAGACAAGAAACCTTTGTATCTGAAGTTACAAAAGGGAAATTGCAGCTGACATTCTAAAATGTCGACTTGATAGAGCAGTAGATAGAACATTTCCTGCAGCTAAACTGGTACTCAACTTCTCAACTAAACCAGTACTCACACAGCAAGTAAAGGATAAATTACCAAAGATGGCCTCATCAATGTGTATATATGAATTCAAGTGCTCATGTGGAGCTAGTTACATTGGCCGTACTCAGAGGGCTTTATCCATGCACGCACGTGAACATGTACCAGTATGGTTGAGTAAAGGAGTAACGAAGTGTGTAAATAGTGCAGTCTTAGCC